ATCCTGGGAGAAGCACCTTTTCCGGTTCCTTTGTCCTGACTTAAATAGGGCAATTCGCAGAGGCGCCCTATTGGCTCAACCCTGAGGGGGATGGCAGTCTGATCTGGTGGCCAGAACTAAGCCTAACCCGGTTCCAAAACCGGGGAGGTCACAGGGAGCAAAACCCCTCTCCTGCCACCAGAACCCCCACCCCCTCCACATCAAACCATGACAGTGTCTTCTCTGCATTTTGTTGTTGTTCACTTGCAGGAGTTTACCATACATTACCAACATGTCTAAGCTGGTATTGATTTGAGGATGTTTAGCCATGTTTTTGCCATCAAATTTTGCCTACATGCTTAACTTTCACACTGAAGTGACTTCTGATGTCTTGACTCCTCAGTATGGTTCCTCATAGCATGTCAAGTTGATTGTGTGTTTGTCCCAAAGATGAGATCTCAGTTCCAAAAATCTGGTCTAAATTTTGCAAGCCTCTTAATTTTGGGAACATCTGGATAGCTACAGAGAAAAATTTTTGTTCTATTTGTCCATGATAAAAAATGCAAGAGCACCAAAAAGAAAAGTTATTCATGCTGCAAAGCATATGCCAGTAGTTACCATTCACCCCAGGAAAGTGGGCAGTGGACAGGAGCAACTGTGAAATGCAGTTTTCACTTTTGTGTTTAATTCTCCTGGAAAAGGTTCTCTAGAAAGACTCAGGCATTTAACAGCTGGGCACTGGTAGCTCTGTAATCACTGTTAACTGAGATGCTTCTGTCCATCTCCTACAGGTGTTCTTCGCTGTGCTCATAGGAACCTTCTCCCTGGGCCAGGCGGCTCCTAACCTGGAGAGTGTGGCTAATGCACGTGGGGCTGCCTATGAAGTGTATAAAATTATAAATAAAGTAAGTATCTATGTAGAAATGAAGCCTTTCAACCAGATTTAATTCTGCCCTCCCCCCCTTTTTTTTTCTCAAGAAATGTAACGAACATTCAAAAGGCCCTAAATCATAAACTCTAAAGATGCCTACCACTGAAACCCATAATATTTCCATTCACATCAAGAAAACTGCCTCTTTATTTCTTACAATGAATGTTGGGAAACCTGGCATGTTTATCTGAGATTTATGGATGAAGTCTTTCTCTGATATTAGACTTGCAACTCCAGAGGGAAAGTAGAAAGACACTACATAATTTTTTTAAAAAATACACATATGCACAATTTCAACTGAGCTGTTTTTCTGGGAGGAGACGGCATTGGTGAGGAGGGGATTAACAGTGCTATTGAAAGCTATAATAATATAAAGCTGCAGTGTTGATGTTGCTATGAAAAAAGGTTTCTACATTGTTATACTCACGGTCTTGCTGTGTTATGGAGCAGTTGGATATCTGTGTATATAAGATATTTTAAACAAATAGGACTATGCTGTTCATATGGAAATGGCTACACAGTTCTTGATGTGGGTATAAAACCCTCCCATATGAATAACTGAGAGCCATGTTTTGGCTGCAAGATAATACGGTTAAGTTCTGCAATTACAGATTTTTTGCTGTGGATTCTGTTGCATTTGAAAATGTGCTATATTTGTCAAAGTATAATTCACAGTTACATGCTCCCCTGCATTCAGCATCCTGCAAGTAAAATGCAACAGCTCTGCAATGGTGTGTTGCAGTATAAACCATCAGCTGAGAAAGCAAGGGAGAGCACAATGTATCCAGCTGAAATAGCAGTTTCAAAAGTGTAATAACCAGCAACATATTTTAAAAACCTTTTTCCAGAAACGGCTCATAGATAGCAGTTCTAAGGAAGGCTACAAACCCGACAAGCTCATAGGAGAAATTGAATTCAGAAACATCCATTTCAGCTACCCGTCCAGACCTGATGTTAAAGTAAGTGTTCTTTTCAGGTTAAGCTACTGTACTGAAATTCTGCAGCCTATGTCCATATTATTTCTCTAATCTTGTTGTTGTTCTTGAATGCAAAATGCATTCCTATCTTAGGAGATAGGACATTATTTTTTTCCTCCAGTAGTACACAAAGACAAAGCTCTAGATCTACTGCCCCTGGCTACCTTTTCACTGTTCTCCTGTGCTGGACAAAGCTAAGAAAAATATGTTGCCTTTAGTCTGAATTTCTGTGAACAAGAGGTCTGACGAGCCAAATAAGATTTTTCAAGATCTGTCATTAAAAATTCTAGAACTTACAGAGTTAAACCAGGAAGTTGCTCTTTCCAGTCCCTTGCTCGTTACGAGTTGCTGTGATATCCCATGTGAAAAATGACCTGTGAGATAGGCTTTACAACAATATGCTATCAAATGGATTGAAACTAGATCCTAAGTATACATTTGGAAGCCAAATCATATTTTGGGCAGATGTTAAAATTGCTGTTCAATAAACAGATGTCTCTGTTCTTTGCCAGTTAAACTTCCCTTAGTAACTGTATTGTGCAGCACCATGTATGTCATGTAATGGTGATCTGCTTTTGTGGTGATACAGTTGGTTTGACCTCTCTATTCAACAGCTGATAATCTTTTGAAGACATTAACAAAGGTGAAAGGAAAAGCGATTTGCTGCTGTTGTTATTTGATGCAGAGAAATATAGAAATAGACATTTCGAATGTCAACAACTAAAAGCCGAACATGCCAATTAAGGGATGAGAAAGGAGAAGTTCATACCACTGTGGCTATTTCTTCAACTGGCTCTTCCCTACTCAGCCATCTGAGGTCTGTCCCATCTGTTTCCAGGATGCTGAGGCTGCTGAAGGACAGACCCAGATCTAGGCTTTCTGCCTAACTGAAGTCACTGCAATGCATCATCCTTCACTCTTGGCTCAGAAATCAGAAGTGACAGAGCAGACTCTTCATCCTTTTTCCTAAAAGTGCTATTCAGGCTGATGAACTACGTTATGGGTCTGCAAGCCAAATGGGAGGGAAATAAGAAATATTTTGTCATCCTTCCCAAATCTACTGAGTCAGCAGCTCTCCCTACTAAAAATATTAATGTTCTTTAATAGAGCCAAAAGGAATCAGCAAAGAGATGTAGAAATTGTCCACAATCTCTCAAGCAATGGATGCAACACAGTGTTATCTCCCCTGTCCAGGCTGAACCAAATCGGAGAGATCTAAGGAGTCTAGTTATTGTCAGTTTTAATCTTGACAACACTTTGCCCAATAAAAAAGAGTTAAAAATAGCCTATTAGATGGTTGTGACTATTTGCATCTGGAGAAGTTATGGTATCCAGAATATAGTTCTTACTTGATAATGCAGGCACCAGGATATCAGCTTCTTGGAGACAGAAACTCAGCTGGATGTAACACAGGGAGAAGAGCAATATTGCAACTATTTTAATCTCATTGCAAAAACATATGCAGGCAAAATTATAAATCAGCCTGGTATAAACAAGAAGAGTTCCCATAGCAGCCAAATATTTTGGCAACTACACATCATTACTCATATATGACATGGACATCTTTTGAGGTAAAATGTTCCTAAATGTGAAAATGGCAACAAAGATTTCATTAATCTATAACTACTCCCCAGGTTACTGAGGCTGTTAACAATAAGGATTGGGATTTATTAAGGGCTTTCCAGCAGTTATCTTGTCAAAACAGCCATTTATGTTCTAAAAAGAGAAGAAAGCAGGCTTGTTTCTTAGCAATGATATTTAGCACATCAGAAACATTTTTTTTGTGAGATTCCTAGCTAAGCGTTATGTCATTGTCCAAGTGTTGGGAAACAGAGTACAGCAGGAGAATGTAAGACCCCAAGCCTGCTACCAGATCACACAAATTGTAGAAAATGAGCTATCTAGTTGAGAGTACTGTGGCTGTATCTATATTAGTTGATTTTAGTGTGCTGGGGAATTTTCCCAGGCACTGGAATGCAATGGTCTATGCAAGGGAACTCTTAAAACGTTTCTTGGCATGAACTTGGCCTGTTCCAGTTATCAATCTTCTCAAATAATTCCCAGGGTTGGTTTGGTAGCCAGAAGGATCCAGGGACTGTTCCCAAAAGGCAGGTTGCATGTAGCTATCCTGTTTCAAAGGTTAATACACTTCACAAGCATAGATGCAGGTTTTTTCATACCACTGTCCCAGGATATTCCCAGGTAAAATTAACTTACTAATATTGCCATAACTTCACACTGCGCCCCTTACTACTGCCTTGATTATTGCTACAGTTACCTCAACAGACCATTCTCTAATAAAAATGATCAAACTAAGGTTTTTGATGTGTTGTTGTTGTTTGTTTGTTTTTTCCTCCAGATCCTCAGAGGCCTAAACTTGAAAGTTCAAACCGGGAAGACCCTTGCTTTAGTTGGTGCCAGTGGCTGTGGAAAAAGCACTACTGTTCAGTTGCTGCAGAGATTCTACGATCCTGTCCAGGGAGAAGTGAGTTCCTGCAAGTGAACTGTAAACCTGAGAGCTGTTAGGATAAGCACAAGTTTCCCATATTGACTGAACCTTGATTTTCACTTTTTATTGAATTTGAGCATATCTCTGCCTAGTTCAGCAATTCCACAATTTAAATTTCAAATGAACTGTTTCCTGTTGGTTTCACTTCATCAGTCTCCTCCTTCTTGCAGTACTATGCCAGAAGTAGTAAATACCACAAATCTTGATGCAAGATCTGAATTTAAAATTATTTTCATCAGCTATTGGCTTTTAAGGTGCTGTAAACTTTTTTAAGCAAACAGTGCTCTGCTGTACTTTGCTTACTTTTAATTGAACATGAGCTAAAACCTGGAGAGAGTTTTCATATTTTATTTTAAAAGGTTGTTTTCTTGGCTCATTTTTTCTCTGCTAACCCACACCAAAAGTTTCCATCGTTACACGTTGTACGTCTGCTCTACCACTAAACACTAGATCAAATCAGTAAATGGTAAATACTTCTCATAAGACATTTCCAAACAAAAAAAGAAGAAAAATAAACAATATATTTTTAAAGAGAATGTTCTTTTTATACTTAATATTTGAAGAATGCTATTTAGTAGTCGTTACTACTAGTTGAAACTAGGTAAGCATTTCAAATATTAAATGCTGAACTATCACTACATAGTGTATCAAGATGGCTATTTATTATTAGCACAGTTGTTTCTTAAATTCAGTGTTTCAGTGGCTCTCCATTCCTGCCCCATGCCTCAGTTTGCTGTTCCTCCCATGTGCTAATGTCAGTGTTCACAGGACCACACTGCAAATGATCTAGGTTAAAAATAACTTTCCCTTCCTTTCTGGTCAACTTGGATTATTTCTTTGGTCTAGCGTAAAGCACAGCCACTGAGGCGATTGTGTAGCCACAACTGTAAGGGCAACAAACTGGCACAGGGGCATGAGAACAGGGTAAAAGCTATGCAAGGAAGCTGGAAAACTCTTAAGCCAGCTTGGACAGCATGGTTATTGGAGGGAGAGGACCCAACAAAAAAAAAGTCTTCTCCGTTTATGCTGCTTCTCACTATTTTCTAGCTTGTGCGGTGGATGGAAAAACTACAGTTATAACTTCTCCCCCAACAGAGTTTTCCACTAAAGACAACAATTTTTTTTTTGTCCTTGTAGCTGATACTGAAGTCAAGTAATAGTAATTAATTGATTTATTATGAACAGAATGCATTTCCTTAACATCTTTGACATACACTTTTTCCTCTCAGATTACCTTAGATGGTCGGGATATTCGGACGCTTAATGTAAAGTGGCTACGGGAAAATATTGGTATTGTGAGTCAGGAGCCCATTTTGTTTGGAACAACTATAGCTGAGAACATTCGTTACGGCCGAGAAGATATTTCTGATGCTGAAATTGAGCAAGCAGCCAAGGAAGCCAATGCTTTTGACTTTATATCTAGACTGCCTGATGTGAGTTCATTAACTTCTTTCGAGTGTAAGAACGAAAGGTCCATTTAGGCTGGTGTCCTGTTTCTGAGAAGGGAGAGCATGGGAGTTTAAGTTGTAGTATAACTTCTCAAAATACTCTTACAGCCTCTAGCAACTTTCAGTTTAGGGACTTCCTGGGCTAGATATTGTGCCTTTGTTTGGTTGCCCTCAAAGGGTTTGTGCCAAAGTCTGGAAAAAATGTCCGTGCCTTAACTCAGGAGAAAGGAGGCTGCACACCTGTATTACCATCCCTGCCCATCTCACTAAACACGGGAAGAGTTGGGCTTTTAAACAGAAGATCCAGAAATCCAAAATCCTTTGTTGGGAGCTGTCTGTGCATTCAACAGGAAATGAAGGGTGGAAGTAAATATAAGTACATCTTGAACCAAGGCTGGTTTTAGTAGCTGGGAGCTTGAGCTCTCCTTCTGCCTGAGATTCGCAGCTTTTTACATTCTCTTATAGCAGTAGGTGCCTTACTCTTTTCAGAGTGGGGGTGGAAAGCAAGATCAGTCGTTCAAAACATATCCTCAGGAATGGATGTTGATGTGTCCTTCCTCTTGGTCCTGCAGTTAAAAAAATGTGGAAGAAGTGCCCACCTGGGATTTGATTTCAAGTTCTCCTATTTCAGAGAGCTTGACCCCCATCACTCAAGCATGTGCCACTTCTAGCGTGTCAGTCCAAAGTTCCTCCTACTCAGGAGGAGTTATTTAATTGTATTTACTCTTAAACAGCTATATAACAAAAGATTGTAGTGGACTTTGAGACTTGCCACTTTGGATTGAATGACACAGTCAGTAGGAACTAAAGCCATGGCTCCGGGGGGGGAGGTGTCTCAGGTTCAGAGAAGGTGGCGTCAGAGGTCCTGGTGGGTTTCTGTGATCCCAACCTTGTTGGAAAGGTAGGCAGTCCTCAGAAAAGGCAGAGATACCTTTTACAGTCTTGAGAAAGCCCAGGGTTTGGGGCACTCTCCGAGCAAGTGAAAATCAAGACTTTAAAGAACCGTAGGTTCAAAGTTAGGCATATAAAGTACATAATGGGGGTAAGAGGTGAAGAGCTAGATGGATGGATGTAGTTGCATGTTTGCCTATGCTCAAGTCAGCTGGATAACGCCACCTGTTGTCTAGAAGCTGAGTACTTCTGTTTGCACAGAGAAGCAAGGATTTCATCTGAGATGTTCCACAACTTCTGTTTCATTTTCTTCTTTCTCAGAAATTCAACACCATGGTAGGAGAAAGAGGGGCTCAGCTGAGTGGGGGACAGAAGCAGCGAATAGCTATTGCCCGTGCCCTGGCCAGAGATCCCAAGATTCTTCTTCTGGATGAAGCTACGTCTGCACTAGACACGCAGAGTGAATCCATAGTGCAAGCAGCTCTTGATAAGGTAGGAGTCATGTTGTTGAAGCTACCAGTCACCATGAAAAGGTGCAACAGCACTTAAGAAAAATGAACATTCAATTTTTACTGCAGGTCTCCTTTGGAATAAAGAACACTGGAAAATAAAATTTGGATGCAAGTTTCGATTTCAGGGTTTTAACAGGCATTTTAAATAATCAAAGTTTTACTTAGGAATCACATCTATTTGTTGGGATGTTTTTTAAACATTAGTACTAATTATGAAGATACTTACACTCATGTGTAACTAACTTAAGCCTCTTGCACTTCATTCCTTAAACTACAATTGTTCATTTGCTGGTGTAATACAGATGGAATCTAAGGCAAGGCATGAGGACTGAATGGCCTTTTTCAGATCGATTAATACAAACATATAGTATAATATTACTAGCATTCATTCTTGAACAGTTGTTTCATACTTTTCAGGAAGCTCTTGAGACTTAGCCATTTTCTTTTTTTACAAAGACAGTGCAAATCAGAGTCTACACAGAACAAAAGGCAGACCCAGTTACAAATACCGAGTCTTTGCCCTCCTCGAGCTTTTTATCAGCCCCGCAGCTGAGCCCTAATGCAGAGCAGAGCTGTTAGAGCTCATACCTGTGCCTCTGTCCCACCAGTTCATGGTCCCTTCATCAGCTGTTTCCACCAGAATGTAGTGGAGCCTGGAGGCTTTGATTAAAAAAGAAATTAATGGTTGGATTGGAATGTTGTTTCATATATCTAATATGTATTTTAATGTATTTATAAAAGTTAAGTGAAAAATCCTCCCTTTCATTTCAGTAGTTACAGAGATATGAGTTACAAGTATGGCTCAAGAGAAACTCAGAATTTACCACTTTCATTGCCAGTCAGTTTAAATCTGAGGTAAAATGTAGCTGTTGGTTATACTCACATGACTGTACTGATACTATCAGCTTTGAAGTAACAATCTAATTGGTATATAAATTATACTATTGCGGCAAAGTTAAGCACTAAAAATTACCACTTCAGCCATAATTTAGCCTTCTTCTGCATGTTCTTTATTTCCACGATCAAATACTAGCCTTTTCCAGAAGCTTATTGCTTCATTTAGTGCATAATATAGTGGGAGATCGCTCAATTAAGGGGACTGTTCTACATACTCTTCCTCCAGCATGTTCCCAGAACACACCAAAGTGAGCCCTGAATCATAACTTACTCATCTTTTCACAGCTTTTGATGTCCATCAGCGTAGTCTCCAAATGGGATTTACTAAATTCTTCTCAACATCCCTGAGTGCAAAAAGCGGTGCTAATGCTCGTTACTTTCACAGCTGAGGAGCAGAGATATTAACCTCACAAACACACACCGCGTCTGAGCAGTCGTATGCAGATGCTTGTAGTCTGATGTTTTCCAGATAACCTTGCATCTTTTAAAGCATTTCGCTTGTGCTGATCACAACTGTCAACTGCAGTGGTGAAGGCTCTGCACCTCTGTGCAGTAGGGCACAGGCATGATAACGACACCGAGACAGAACTCCTGTCACGGGCTTTGAGTGACTCGCATCAGATCTGTGAGAACTTGATGGCAGGTGTAGGGGGAAAAACCAAATCTCCAAGGAAGCATTCATCTACTGAAGCTGCCGTCTTCTCCATGCCCCTGTTCTTGTGCCCATACTGAAGTAACTTCCAGTAGGATTCTTGACTACAGAACACTTGTTGCGCGATGTCCCCTTGGATTTCTCCTCCTGTCCCCAAGCCACCGTCTGCTCCAGCCAGAGAAGAGGGGAGCCAATCTTTCCAAATAAAGCTATCCTAGCTTTATTTTGAGAGAGATCTAACTATGCTCACTATGTTTCCCTCCCATGGATGCATACACATGGAAACGCTTTACAGGCAACTTTAGCTCAAACGTTTCAAGTTTGGTGAAAAGACAAGTAACCTTAATTATAGCCTCTAATACCTGCACTGCCTGTGCACTAAGATTAATGTGGTATTCTCTGCCTGAATTAGGCAAGTGAAAGTGTCCTTAGACTAGTAAACAAGATACATGAATCTGGGGCGGGGAGAGGGGTAATTTTTTTTAGAAGAAATAATTCTTTTTAGAGTTTGGATTTATTTTATATTATAAATGCCTTAAAAACTTTGTTTTATTTCTGTGCTGTTTTCTTGCACATTTTAATGTAAATTGCTTTTGTTGTTTTTCTATAAGGCTCAGGCTGGACGTACTACCATCGTGATTGCTCACAGGCTGTCTACCATTAAGACTGCTGACACTATTGCTGGATTTGAGAATGGCATTGTGGTTGAACAAGGAACACACAGTGAGCTCATGTTGCAGAAGGGAGTCTACTATTCTCTTGTAACACAGCAGGTAAGGGCAAATTTATTTATTTTCTTTCTCCAATTCATGCAGTTGTGAAATGCTGGTATGTGGAGATATTTTCTCTCTATATTTCCTGCACGTTGTCCAGCTGGCCACTGCTCAGTCACTCTAGTCTGGGCACGGACACAGGCTTGAAATTCTTGGGGGTTTTACCCATAAAAGCGTTTCACATTTACACAATCCAATATGTCACGAACATAAGTGATGTAATTATAGCATAACCATAGAATAATTAGATTCCAGGAGGATTCCATAGACTGCTTAAAGAAAAAGAGAAAATAGGAAGAAAAAAAACCAAGACCAAATAGTTTACCTCTCTGCCATTGCAGACTGAAATATCTGTAGCCTATGGGCATCAGTGAACACATGATTGAAACAGCACTACTCATGAGAAAAAAATTTTACTCTTCCTTCTCCCTGTTCAAAAAGTCTTGTGATTGTATATCCTGAATCCTCACTAGAGTTGTAGCAATAACATTCAAGATGATGGGACATCAGAAGAAAGCGAAGACACAGGGGCTGAGGAATACAAGGAAAATGACAGAAATGACCTTGCGAAGGAGCTGACTCAAGATGGTTTTGAAGAATCGGTGACCTCTGGGAGAGGCAGCATTCGAAGAAGATCCAGCAGACTTAAGAGCAAAAGCAACTCTTCTAAGAAAAAATCCTCTGAAAAAAAGAAAAAAAAAGAGCTAGAGGTTAGTATTAAAATTGTAGTTTGGAATTTTAGTGATAACATGTAAGCATAAACACAAAGCACATAACTTTAATTACTTTCAGATAGCTAGCTACCATGCAGCCTTTACCCTGGTGCTCTTACAGTCAGTATTCACCAGGCTGAGTATTTGTTGTGTCATAGCAATATGAGGGCAATTGTGTATGTCTTATTAAATACTTCATTTTAACACTATTGACTTAGAACTGAAAAGAACTTGTGCTGTTGATTTGTTATGCTTCATAAAAGTAAGTGTATTATTTCAGTGTTACTGATGTTTTAATTCTATATAATTAAAACAAGTTGTGAGACTTCATTTGCAGGATTCTTTATTTCTGGTACTCACTGTTGCAAATACTGGTGGATAATGTAATCCCTGGAGTGCGCATACCAAGTATTAAGGCCCTTTGGAATATCATATTGCCTTTATGTCAAACGAAAAAAAATATCAAAACCCTAATGTATTCTAAATAAAAGAACTATTATTCTCTCTCTCAATCTTAGTATATGCTTTAAAACGTACAGTTCTGGAGGTTTTATTCAAATAAAACCCTTTAATTGACAAATGTCATATAGGAATAAAAGTCACAGAGGAAGTTCAGGTTTTAGAACCTTGATTTGTCAAAATTGACTAAAACTTGCACATCGCAATCAATAGGAGCAGATTTCTAGTGGACTCTGGCTCAGACTTTGGGTAGGCAGCTCAATAGAAACTTGATCCTATTTTGTACTGCTTGAACTACAGTCTTTTGCGGGAAATATATTGAAAGAGTTGTTTGGCATTTTGGGGGTTTTGGATTTGTTTTTTATACCTGCCTTCAGAAACCTTGACATGAATAAAGGATAACATAAATTCTGAAGTAAAACCTTTTTAAAAATCTTTTAAATCTATGGAAGGATCTAGGATTAGGATCTAATCTGTAATGCAGCATCTGGTTATTTAAAATACTTATGGAAGCCTTAGTGTACTTTGTATCTATTGATATTCCTTTTCACTAAAATATAGCTTCTAACTAATACATATTTCAAATAGTACGAAGGAACTGGATCCACTCCTATTATCACAAAAAAAAATTTTGCAACTTTTTGTCTGTGTACTAATACTGCTTAAGACCTTATCAGAGAAAGTGGTGGGTGTTCATGCTTAAGACTTCAGTATTCATCACATTCACAAAAACTTGAGAAATCAAGCATTCAGCTGTCATAACTATTTGTTTCAGAAACCTCAGCCCACTTTTATGGTTGAGGTTTAGCCACCTTCATTCAGCATCTGAAACATGGGATAAAACAAGCAAAAGCAACTTAAATCGTAACCCTGCCTAATATTTTGTTTCATTTCCAATATTTTCTTTTTTTTTGCTTCTCCAGAACTCCCTTTGTGGAGGCATAAGCACTTGAATAAATTAGGAAAGCAGAACAGGGCATTTTTTTGTACTTTCAAAGGAGATGCAGGCTGACTTACTGTTACACATGCCTCTTTCATGCTTTTGGTAATGATGCATAGACTATAGTTTGCAAAGAGAAAGATGTCCTCTCTACCCAATTGTATTACTGCCAGCCCACTAGCATTTAGCTGAACTGGAGGGATCTTTTCTGTGCTCTGAACACTGAGACTTTTAGTTCTTTATAAAGATTCAAGTGTTAAAGTTGCCATTCATGATGACCAGTCCTGTCTTGACTTTCAATGACATGTCCTTGCCCTTCTCCCCTCATAACTTAGCCTTTTGTTAAATTTTTGCCTCCAAACTTTCACAATGCAGTGGAAGTTCTAGGATATGAAATAGCAAAGCTGCAGTTTGCTTGCTCTGAGTGCACAGAGAGGGCTTTCAGTAGTTTACCAAGACAGCTCACTACTCAAAACCTGATGAACACCCATTTTCTGGGGAATTTCATGTTTCCAAGGAAAACTTTACAGCCTTCTCTTTCCTGTAGGAAGAAAATCTCCCTGACGTGCCTTACTCGAGAATCTTGGCTCTGAACAAACCTGAGTGGCTATATGTACTACTGGGAGTGATTGCTGCTGCCGTCTCAGGAGGGGTCCATCCTGCATTCGCTGTTATATTTGGAAAAATCATTGGGGTAAGCTTTTTTTTGAAATGGACGTTGCAGTCCTGAGCCTCCTACACGCTCAACCAGTTGTCCCTATACATAAGACTCTGGGTGGGATTCACTTGTATAAATGGATCCAATGAAAAATGGGGAAATGCCGAAATGACTCTCTAGAGGCAGAAGCCCAGTGGAACTGTGTCTAACTAGCAGAGGGAGGAACAATAGTTGGAGCTGGGTGAACAAATTAGTGATGTGTAGGTTAAATGGAAAGCTGGACTGTCTTCTGGCCCTCAACAGACAATTGATTGCAGGCTGATTTCAGGATCCAGGATACTTGCTAAGAGAAATTGAATCGTAGAATGGTTTGAGTTCTAATATAAGGTCGAATTTCGACCTGTGGTACACAGCCGTGATGTGGCTCAGTCAGCAACCTCAGAGTTGGAAGGGACCTTAAAGATCACCTAGTTCCAACTCCTCTGCCATGGACAGGGACACCTTCCTGTTGCTCAAAGCCTCATCCAACCTGGCCTTGAACACTGCCAGGGATGGAAGCAGACAAACTTCTTGAGACGAAGGCTGATTTATGTAATGGGCACTCATTGTCTACGTACTCATGTTTGTTTTTTCTTGCATAGGCTTTTCAAGAAACAGATCCAGAAAAGAGGAATAAAAACACTGTGGTGCTTTCTTTAATGTTTCTTTTACTTGGAGCAATTATCTTAGTAGCATACATAATCCAAGTAAGTGTCACTACCTGAAATGTAAGTTCTTAACTCCCCAGCAGGTTGTGGGTATAACTCATATCAGTGCAGTTGGAGAAGCAAAACACTGATCAGAGCTTACAAAAACATGCAGAAGTGGCAGGGTTCTTCCTGAGATACGTGGGTTTGATGGATGTGCTTACCTGAGGACATATGTCCATATTTGCTGTTGTTTTAAATAAGCCAGTGAAGGCAATGTGGATTCAGCACGACTGAAATCAAAGTTGAGGGTCTGGCCATAAAAGTCAAAGTTAAGACTGGCATTTCTCATTGACAGTCTATAGACTTTTGCCAAAGTAAGTGTAAAATAGACTCTTTCCATAGCAGATGGTGGTTTTCATACCATCAAGCAAACTCCATCATTTGCTGTTCTCTTATGACTGCTCCACAGCTTACAGGAAACAGTTACTGCACGTCCATGTCCATACCATAAAATCCACTGGTATGAGTGCTGAGAGTTAATGTCTCTGGTAGCACTTGGACTAGGGAGGCCGACGACTAGACAGATGGATGTATCTTCTAGTGCTGCTGAGGTGTATGAATAAGGTATTACAGCAAAGCTCCTGCCATCTTTGTATGTTGCTTCCTTTCTGTGGGAAAAGAGCATTTCAGGTTCCAGGACCACGAATGACACTTTTCCCAAGACTTATAAATGCACAGGTAGTTATGGCAGACTTTTTGGTGTCATTGCTTTTGTTGTGTGGCTTTATAAATGGAGTTAAAGCATGAGATGAGAAAACATGACTCTCTTTCCTCTCCCAGGGATTCATGTTTGGTAAATCTGGAGAAATGCTAACAATGAGACTGCGCTCTTTGTCCTTCAGAGCGTTACTTCAGCAGGTATGAATTACGCAGCTAGGGTATCATGAGAGCCAGATGGCTTTTGCAGACTGTTACGAGGTACATATTGGGTTTTAATTGTGTGGTCTGGAGAAAAGAAAACAAAAATATGCCTCTTCTACCACTAGCTTCAGAAAAAATACAGCTTTTCTGAAAATCTCCTGATTCATGTGCAATTTACCTCAGTGCTGCTACTGCAAATAGTTTAATTTTGAAGGAGCGTCATTGCAAATGTGCATATTTGACACACTGACATGCACATGCTTTGCAGCTGTCTATGGGTACCAGGATGATGAAAAAGTTGAATTTCCTCTTGCTTGTGTGGTCATGATGCGAATATGTAGATTTAAGTCTAATCTGTTTAGTTATTTAGATTTAAATCTACATGCTGCAATTCATAGCAAACAGACAATCTGATAATTTTTTACTATCAAAAATTTAAATTGCCCTATTGCATCAAGAATTACCCATGAGAAGAATAAAGTACTTATATTAAACCCTTCCCGTAATCTGTGCCATTTCATGCTACTTGCATAGAAGTTTTGAGAATGCATAACTTGGCACTCTGCACACCTATTGGGGTACAAGAACCTGTGTATTCATAGAAACATCCAAAAGGGACTAGGAGAAAAAAAAATTAGTGATGAGAAAAAAAACTGCCATGGCCTTTGGAGATAAGAGTCCTTTCTTTATGTAAAAATATAGATAAGCAATTGTTCTTCTATAGTTAATGGAATAGAGGACTTGTAAGAAGACAATACTTAACTTTATTAGGCTCAAGGAAGGACTGAGTAAAAGATGTTATCATAATAAAAGTTTCTAAATAGGTACATTCAGAAGAACGTTACAGTTAATTACATTTTGATTGTGAACAATTAGATGTTCAAAACAGGATAATACTTTTTGAGCTTTTTCTTTTAGTTTAGTTGGAAGATACTGACCACAGAGGAAGAATATTACAATTAGCCATCATGACTTGAACTTTCATTTCACCATATGCCACCTGAGCTGGAAATGTTTGTTCTTTTTATTGGTAATCCTGATAAATCTGAAATATGATAAGAACATGTAATTTTCTGAAAAAAAAAAAAAACAATAACAGTATCTTTTCTTGCAGGAGATTGGATGGTACGATGATCAGAAAAATGCTGTTGGTGTTCTGTTAACTCGGCTTGCCACAGATGCTTCCCAAGTCAAAGGGGTATGCTGATTCCATTTTTGTGTGCTTTTCTAATTTTTTTTTCTTACAAAAGTTAATTGTAATTGGCAGGGGACGCTGAGGTTATTTCAGAACACAGGTAGTAAATCTACCCCACAGACACTGGCAGATGCATTTACATAGCATGCTGTTGATGCCTTGGAAATGGCTTCCCAGCTGATAATTTGAGAACTATGAATAATCCAGCATATGTGCATGTACCTTTCATTTTCCTCCCTGCAAGTCTTTAAGTTAAGTATATAATAATTGTAGACCATTTCACCAAGCAAAACAATGTCTGTGCTGGGGACCAGAATCAGTGGACCTCAGGTTTTTACACACTATGATGGATGTCACCTAAGTACCAGAAGAAGTTGCATCTGCAGATGATACAAATCTTTGCAGACCTTAATGAAGATAATTCTTCCCATCTCCACCAACTGTGCTTCACACACAAGCAGGCCAAACAGTAAGAGGTAGCCCAGCATTAATGAAAAACACGAGGGAGTGTGATGGCCAAGGGAGGGAATGACTCAAGGTGCTGGTATGGGAGAGGCGGGCACTGGGCACTGGCAAGAGACTATGGCAAATTCTGTACGACTCTTCCTACTGCTCACCTTCAGCAGCAGTTGCTGATGATTGGCCAAATGTCCCTCGGTTTCTTCCCTCCTCCCTGAGGAGAAAAAAAAAAAATACTGCAGGACTTGTAGGAGAAAAGTTTTCTGTTTTATTTTTCAAATGTCTTTGTGTCCTTCAGATTCGTACATCAAAAACCCTTTAATCCCGATGTTTTTCAATCTCAGTAGATTTTTGTTTTTCTCTCCTGTCCTCTTTTTTTATGAGCTGGTAGTGAGAAAATAGTCTTTGACAATTCTTAGTCATTTTAATTTCTTTAAGTGCCAATTTGCTTCAGTGGCATTGAACTACATCACCCTGTGAGGGCAGTAGAAAGGAGGGGTAAACAGAGTCCCCTAACTACAAAAGCCAGATAAGGGCATGAATTGCTCTCCAAAGTTACTGTATTCTCTGGAGCACTGCAGAGTGTCAGTAAGTACCGTGCCTCGTGCTGCACTGGCTGAAGCTTCCAAATTCATCTTTGTGTGTAGCCACTAGAACATGTGGCAACAATTCACCTTGACATTGGTTTAATTATTGCTATTTTAAATTTTATTGAACAAGAAAAGCCTTTTCAGGGCAGGAAAGTTTTTTGGCAAAAGAGGAAGAATTTTGCTTCCCACCCAAGAATTTTTGGGGTTTTTTTCCATCAAGATGACCTATTTCCACAGGGCTGTTTTCAGACCTTTTTTTCTGCAGATCAGAGCCCACCCAGATGCTGGATGCTAATCATCTCTCATTTTAAGAGTTCTTGATGAAAAGGTTACACAGGCTGGGAGCAGACAGGCATTCTT